AATAAACATACTGCATTGCCATTTATCACCAGAAAGATAAGACACTTGGTTGTGTTGTGTGTATTTGTTATCCCCCGAAGTTACAGTAGCACAGTAACCAGCACTCTGGCCTGTCCAAATTTGCCTCTCTTGCCTGTTTGCTTCTGACTTGGCTACCCAACCAACAGTGGATACTAGGAAAATTTCCTGGGAAGTAAAGGTCAGGGTACCACATCACCAATTAAGTAGTGATTGGTCTAATAATATGATGCTAGCAAAAGACACCTAATTATGTATCTAATGTGAAAACTCATCCTCTTCTGTTATTGTTTCTCACTGATCGCTAGAAAGATAAGTTTGATTGTGTGTAACCTTGGGGTTGTATATAAGGGCATTCTCACTTCTACGGAGCTGTTGTTTCCTGAGCATATTTTGGTCATACATATTGTCTTGTCTGTCATGGCTGACTCAGTGGTGATAACTATTTATTACACAGTGGTGTGTTTGTGTCTGACATTTTTGTTTTACAGAAAAGTCAGATGTCAGTGTTGAGGCTAAGGTCATTTGGTGACTGGTCAGCTTCCTAGCAAAGTCAGAAATGCATGTGGTATTTGAGTTGGCAGTCAAATATAAGGGAAAAGTCAATTATGAATGTTATCAGTTGGCCATATTTATGAAAAAGTTAGGAATGAATGTAAGTTTTGTGCCTGGAATACAAATTTGGAGCCTGATCAACTTTAAAGTGTCACTTTTGAATGTTAGAAAAATGTTTTGACTGCTAGGAAAGATTTTAAGCTAACTAAATACATGATGATGGACTGTGTATAATATTATTGTGTTTATGTGCCACATGTGAATGTATAAACAAAACTATTATAAATCAAATATAACCAGCTTTGGTGTTAGTGTAAAACTATTTGCCTAATGGATTTGTACCTAATAATAAAAAGAATCATCGCCAGAGCTACGGAGAGCATGCTCTGTGCTTGATACCATCTTTAGGTAGCAACGGAGGAGAAGATGAGGATATGCAGAGAATGTACGATCAGTTATTTGAATTGGAACTCTTCCTTTACTGCTGAAGGTGGGGACGGAGCGCTTATGGGAGTATCAAAATGCTGTGATGTCAATTCTTAATTCAGCATTCAAGCTATTTGCTCAGTGATGTCACCCATGTGATACTGGCAATCATAAAAGAAGCATAGAATCATCATCATCATCATGTTGCAAGTCCTTTGAGGAATGTCACTCTCATCACAGTGTGTCTGAAAGAAACTAGGTCTCTCGCCAGCTCTCCAGCCTCAAAGAAGTCACTTATATCCTGTGCCCATCTTTGTGCTGGTCAGCCTCTGCCCCTCCTTCCTGGTGTTGTGCCTTCTATTATTTGTTCCAATCCACTCTGATGCTTCATATTGCCCAAATATTTCAGCTTTCCAGACAGAGAATAGTCACAATGTAAATCTACTGTGCAACAGCGAAAGGGGGGAACATTGCAAACTGGCTGCCACATCCCATAAAAAAAACACCGGTAAACTGCAAATAATCATTAACATGCCTTCTGCTGTGATTTCATTGGGAAATGAAAGGTAGAAGGTTAAGATATGACACAGACTTCATGGGATGAACAAACTTGAAAATAAAGGTGTTTTTGAATGGGAATGCTCATTGTGTAGTGATGTCGACTGTAGTAACAGAGAGCAAAGGGAATATGGCGGTCCATTTGAAACAATACAACTTCAGCCACAATCATAATACTGACAAAGTATAAGCTGTAACGACAGAGTGAAATAATGAATTTTATCAATGTGTTTATTTATTATGCAAATAATTGTTGGGTGACATCTCTGGACTGAAAGTCGGCTGTTGGGTGTCATCTCTGGACTTGGGGTCGGCTGTAATGAGTCTCGAACATCCTCAGTCCTGTGTCATCGTGAGCAGACTTACACAAGCTTCGTCCAATCCATCTCCTGATGTCGTCTGCCCACATGTAACACTGATATCCTCTTGCACACTTGCCCTCTATGTTACCTTGAAGCACATATTTAAACTTCTGTGTCCCAAGCACCACAGCATGTGCTATACTTTTCATGGCAGACTTGAGATGGTCTGGGTTCTATATTGATGATATAAAAAAGGTCAAGGAGACTTTGTCCATGACTTCAGGTGTAATGGACATATAGGGCTGGAGCTTTGTTTTATTGACCAGTTGGCACTTGGTGGGTGACGGGGTCAGTAGCTTCATGCGGGCCACCTTACTTCCCAGGACTGTACCTGTTACCTATTTAGGGGTGGGTCGATCTGGGAGCCAGGGTCATTTATGAAAAAAGTCAGGGTTCGTTAGGACCCAAACCCCCACACAACCTTCTGATCTGCAGGCAATGGTCTAACCGCTACACCATGGCGGCCCCCTAATGATACAAAGACTGTGTTGTATAAAAAGAGTATCTCTGAAAAATTACATTTACACTTTCCTGTAATGAGTCCTATTGAGCATCTGCTGTGAAATCTGTGCTGGTACTTAACAAGTTGACAGAGAGTTGTCTCTCCTAATATGGCCAAATTAGCTCAACTGTCTAATATAAACAGCCACAATAGATTGTCTCATCTTGATCTCATTCAGAATCTCCTTCTTTACCAGCTGTAATACTCATGTAAGTAATACCGAGGATTGAAACAAAATCATGGTATGAATTTTGAAGAATCAATATCATACAATTTTAGGCAACACCAGAGATGCATCTTCTTCAGAAAATACTGTACAGTGTAGATGCCGTGCGTTCATATCAGTAGAAGGTACTTGTGGCATGTCACAAACTATGGCTCCTACAAAAGTCTTATCAATGTGAAACATCATTTTCTTCTCTTCTTTCGTTCGCCTGAAATAAGTTGTCTATATCAGCAATTTTGTCTCTTGTATAAATTTCACTGTTGTTGTTAATTCATTCAGTGGTCCATAGAGTTTACGTTCCACTGTTGTTCTTTCTGGCCAAAAGGTTTGCCTTAATGTGTCAAATTCGGTGCAGTCCTGGAGTACATGCTCTGCTCTCTGGGGCACCTTTCCATAGGTGCACATGGCTGATAAGCCTATCTTGAATTTTGTGTACATGTGGTTAGGTAATCGGTTGTGCCCTGTTCTGAGGTGGAGGATAATGACTTGTTCTGATCTGTCCATAATAAAATAGTCGTCTTATGGGGCTGGTGGTTTCCTGATTGATTTAATGATTCTTTTGGTGGTATGTGACTGGTACATCCGGCTGCACTTTTATTGCACCTTCCCCTGCCAGTTGATCAGCTTTCTCATTTCCAGGCACACCACAATGTGACGGTATCCACTGCATTACAGCTCTTCGCTGAAGGCTAACTTGTGTCAGCAGTGTTTGCAGTTCTGGTAGTTTCCTAGACTGGAGTGCTTCAAGTACTGATTTTGCATCTGTCAGCATTACCACATACTGTGAGCCAAGATTGGTATTTAGCAGTTTCTCTGTTTCTATCTTGATAGACTGAGTTTCTGCATCATAGTGAAACATCACTGTTAGTTGCCCTTATGGTTGGCATGGGGGAGATGATGCTTGAACAGAATACATCAACTTGCGGGTTGACATTTCTCCATGCCACAGTGGACAGGCTGTTAACATTATTCTCTGGAGAAAGTTGTGGACAGCCTGTCCGCTTTAGCACAGAGAAATATCAATTCACAAATTAATGTATTCTTTTGAAGTTGTAAGAGATTGTTGACAACCTGTTCACTGTAGCATGGATAAATGTCAACACAACAAACTGATGTATTCTGTTTAATATCAATATGTGTGTTGACATTTCTCCATGCCACAGTGGACAGGCTGTCAATAATCTTCCTTTTTTTTTCCTTTATTACTCTTTCCATTAATCTCTCCAGTTGTTACAATATGTTTATTTATCTTTTTTCATAATGTGGCCATACAATGGCAGCTATCTTTTTCTACAAATAGTTTGTAATTAAATGCCAATTCATCTCCAACACTGATTCTTTATCATGGCTTCAAGTCTACTGAGCTGATACTTGACAGTCATTTGGTTAATGAAAGTTCCAACTTTACAGCAGATGGGTCACCCCATATATGCACCGTTTCTGTGCCAGCACAAACCAGAATACCCTTTGTCCAATATTTTAAAAGACACTGCAGTCTCAGCAAAGCCAACAGCATATACACATGTATTAAATGCATAAGGTAGCCATGGGAAGTGCCAAAATAAACAGTCCACCATAGCATAGCATTTCATCACTGATGGAAGCAGAAATTACGACAAATAGACATTTGCATGGTCTCTAGGCATGGTATCCACCTCGAGTTCGGGGTTCAATCCCCGGTGAGGGGTGGGTTTTTCTTGCGTGGATTAGTAATTCCCCCTGGTCTCTGGGTTGTGAGATCAGACGCTTGTGAGCATTGTTGCACACTTACAAAATCCCTTGGCAGTTGGAAATCGAAAAAAGTAGCCTAACGGCGCTGCCCGGGCAAAATTAGAAGTTAAAAATCTACCCAAAGTATTTCAGGATTTTCGCCAGTGCTAGAGAGCATGTGCACTCTGCTGAGCTTCTTCGGACTCAGACCTGAGTTAGAAGAAGAACGGAGCACTTATGGGTTACTACACGTGTGCCATGATGTTGTTCCGTTGTTCAAACCTGAAACCTTCAGTACTGCATAAGGCAGCACCTGATCACAGCAAAGGCCACTCATCATTTTCAGACTTCAGTCACAGGATAAACCACATGGGACAGTCAAAAAGCATTCCAAATGAAATCTTCAGCTAAAAGCGTCAACCATGCACTCAACTCAGTGGCTGCATGACAGAATTGTACAGTAGCTCTGTGTTAAAAAAGATTTTTCTGTCTTCAAGTTGATTGTGTTACTCCGTGCAGTTTATATCTTCAATACTTTCACTTCAGAATCCCATCAACGTAGACACCAAAGACTCAATGTTCCATTCTCCAATAAACAGATCCACAAATATGAGTCAGTGCACACCACTTCAGGTTCCATTCGTCACAAGTTTGGTCTCGCTGGGTCCTCCTGTTTCTTCACATTCTGTGTAATGACCTAAAGAATAATATTGACAAAAATTCAGTATTAAAAATGTTTCAAAATTTGTAAATGTAAACAGTTTACATGAAATTATCATGGGAGCCATGGTAGTGGAGTGGCTAGATACTCGCCTGCTGGCTCGAAGGTCATAAGTTCAAATCTGCACAGTTTCATTTTTTTAAATTGATCTTGGCTCCCAGATAATATCCTGGAAAGTAATGGAAGCTGACATGATGTTGACCACATCAGCCATGAGTGCTGACTGGTCCATTGTGTGCTGACTGGTCCATTGAGTGCTGACTGATCAATTGAGTGCTGACTGGTCCATTGAGTGCTGACTGGTCCATTGAGTGCTGACTGGTCCATTGAGTGCTGACTGGTCCATTGAGTGCTGACTGGTCCATTGAGTGCTGACTGATCCATTGAGTGCTGACTGATCCATTGAGTGCTGACTGGTCCATTGAGTGCTGACTGGTCCATTGAGTGCTGACTGGTCCATTGAGTGCTGACTGGTCCATTGAGTGCTGACTGGTCCATTGAGTGCTGACTGATCCATTGAGTGCTGACTGGTCCATTGAGTGCTGACTGGTCCACTGAGTGCTGACTGGTCCACTGAGTGCTGACTGGTCCATTGAGTGCTGACTGGTCCATTGAGTGCTGACTGGTCCATTGAGTGCTGACTGATCCATTGAGTGCTGACTGGTCCATTGAGTGCTGACTGATCCATTGAGTGCTGACTGATCCATTGAGTGCTGACTGATCCATTGAGTGCTGACTGATCCATTGAGTGCTGCCTGATCCATTGAGTGCTGACTGATCCATTGAGTGTCGACTGGTCCATTGAGTGTCGACTGATCCATTGAGTGTCGACTGGTCCATTGAGTGTCGACTGGTCCATTGAGTGTTGACTGATCCATTGAGTGTCGACTGGTCCATTGAGTGCTGACTGGTCCATTGAGTGCTGACTGGTCCATTGAGTGTCGACTGGTCCATTGAGTGTCGACTGGTCCATTGAGTGTCGACTGGTCCATTGAGTGCCGACTGATCCATTGAGTGCCGACTGGTCCATTGAGTGCTGACTGGTCCATTGAGTGCTGACTGGTCCATTGAGTGCTGACTGGTCCATTGAGTGCTGACTGGTCCATTGAGTGCTGACTGATCCATTGAGTGCTGACTGGTCCATTGAGTGCTGACTGGTCCATTGAGTGCTGACTGGTCCATTGAGTGCTGACTGGTCCATTGAGTGTTGACTGATCCATTGAGTGCTGACTGATCCATTGAGTGTTGACTGATCCATTGAGTGTTGACTGATCCATTGAGTGTTGACTGATCCATTGAGTGTGGACTGATCCATTGAGTGTTGACTGATCCATTGAGTGTTGACTGATCCATTGAGTGTTGACTGATCCATTGAGTGTTGACTGATCCATTGAGTGTGGACTGATCCATTGAGTGTCGACTGATCCATTGAGTGTCGACTGATCCATTGAGTGCCGACTGGTCCACTGAGTGCCGACTGGTCCACTGAGTGCCGACTGGTCCACTGAGTGCCGACTGGTCCACTGAGTGCCGACTGGTCCATTGAGTGTCGACTGGTCCACTGAGTGCTGACTGGTCCATACAAATATTAATCTAGCTTTATATGCACAAAAAGGGTTGCTTACATTATCATAGTCTCATGACAGATCACTGAGAAAGTGAAGGATTCAGTTATCTGTGGTCTGCTAAATAAGTGCAGGTGTATGATTGAGTAAAGGACCCTTTCTAATGCCTTCAGACGTATTATGCATATACGGCTAGAACTATATTTGATAGACCAATCGGCACTTGGTGGGTGATGTGTTCAGCATCATGCTGGCCGCCTTTACTTCACAAGACTTTCCCATTTAAGGCTAGGTCAATCAGGACCCGAAACCACGACCTTCTGATCCATCTAGCCACTGCACTATGGTAGCTCCCTGTATGAGTGAGTGACTTCTGCAATAATTTGGAAGTTCAGTGAGTTATCACCCTTGCACAAGTTGTGGGCTCTCTTTTTACAAGCTTGGCGTTTTTCATTTTTCATTTGCAGGCATTAAAACCCATATTTAATGTGCACATACTGCTTTCGTGGGAATTAATTTGACCACAGCAGCGAGTGGCCAACATGGCCTGTTTTTAAAAGGGCCCAACTAAGTGTTATAGGATTTTTAGCAAGGATCTTTAGCAAACACAAAATGCAAAAAAGGGCCTCATTTTATTTTAACAGTATCTAAGGTCAGGGATCTAACCCCTTGCAATATATTTTTAGTGTGCGTGCAGGTGCACATATATATGCAGGTGTGTGCATGCATGTGCACATATATGTGCAGGTGTGTGCATGCGCGTGCACATATACATGCAGGTATATATGTGTGTGTGTATGCATATATATATATATATATATATATATATATATATATATATATATATATATATATATATATATGCATGCATGTGTGCATGCACATATATATGCAGGTGTGCACATGCACATATATATGCAGATGTGTGCATATATGCAGATGTGTGCATAGGTGAAGGTGGGGATTAGGTTCTTTCTGAAAATACTTCAATGAAAAATTATAATTCTTCATTTTCAAGTTGGACACAGGCAAGAAACAGATCATTCGCGTTGCCCTTTGTGTGTATGTATAATTATTCCACTGTAACACAAGACAGTGAGCTGTGTTTATACAGCAGAGATACAATAATAAATAAATAAAATGTTAGTTGCGTATCCTCTACAGGATGCTGCAGAACTGACATCAGCATTTTTTGGCTGTTTGTGATCTCATAAGGCAATTTTATGTTCAGTAGTTTGCTACTGCTGTCTTTCAATCACACTGTTGAAATCAATGCCAGGTAGTCTGCTGCTAAATCACCAATAGATCAAACCTTGCACCGTCGAATTACAAAGCACATTCGCAATGCTTAAGCCACAGGCAAACAAATTTAAAATACAATGTAAAATAGTCATTCATTATAGTGAAACACACAAATGAGGGTGTTAATAATTATGGATTCTAAAAAATTTTAACAAACATTTTCATTTATTAGAAAAAAGGATAAATGTAGTGGCAATCACAGCTAACAAATCATGCTGTTCTCATGAGAGGTATCACGTAAAAGGACTTAACATTCAACAACGTTCCTTTATTCCATATATTATTCATCATACTGTGCGTTTACATTTCGTCTGTCGATTATTATACTTTATTTCAGACTGCTATTTTGGCACCTCCTTTCTGGCATCATCCCCTACCACTGTCTTGATGTGAAAGAGTTTATTCCTGCACATTTGTGTCAGTATAATTATTCTTACAGGTCTCAATAGAACTACTGATACAAGCAGACCATGTCCTAAGTTGGAGAAAGTTTGAGCTCACAATGAGTCCAGCTTGAGGTTATATTAGAAGTCACTCAGTCCAACAAGCGAGCAAGAGACTAGTGAGGATGTGTGTTGTCCAAGTGGTCCAGCTGTACAGCTATGTGACATGTTTTCAGGATGGTCAACTTGTAGCTGTGTCACCTGTTAGCCTGCATGATGTCTCATGAGTATTGTTTTTGCCTCCATCACTCATGGATAAGAAATCAAGTGCTCAGGTTTGGAAAAGTCTGGTTTCATGACAAATGATTCCAACTAAGATTTGTTGCAATAAAGGAAGTACTCTTCTATCCCAGCTTTTCTAATACCTCTTTGCTTATTTTGTATCAAATAATATTATTAACTGTTTGCCTCTAATCAACTTGCATTTGCTGCAGAAAACAGTGAATTCATATTTACAATTTCCTTTGGGAAAATGATATTTTCAAACAGTTCTCATCATTGATCTTTTCTTTATTCATCTCATGCCACTTATACGTCTGCTGTGGAGTTCACCTTTACACTTCTTCAGCTTTTTATTATCATTTTCTAGCAGTGTCAATAATACAAATTAACAGCAGGCAATAGCTGTTCTGCTGACAACTAACAACAACATACAGAGACTTAAAACTCACCCTGGAGATCTTGTTACGAATCTCCATGATTGTCTCATTCACAGACAGTTGTGCAGCCGTTGGCAAAGGCCTCTTTCTCTGAGGGACCACAGCAGGACCTTGAGTCTCACCAAGACAAAAGGCATTCCTTCTAATATCCTGATCCAACTTATCTGTCTTTTTGCGGGTCAGTGTTTCACCTTTTGCTCTCTCTCCTGAGGCTGCCAGTGCCTGTCTGGGCACAAATCTTGGTGGAACTTTGGCTGGTTGGTAGTTCTTTATTACAATACCAGAATTAGAGACTGTAGTATTTGAAGGAGATTCAGAAGATGCCTGTTTGTTGACTTCAGTGCCAACCCTGTTTTCAAGCTGCAAAAACTGATTCAAGGGAGGATTCACACGGGCATCAAATCCAACAGGTAATGTTGCATGTGCAGATCGCACTCTAGAGAATTCATATGTAGTCCTTGCCATATTCTTGTGAGGTTGTGGGATCAGGCTGGACACCGGAGGCAGTGGTAGTTCAAATGTCGGCTGAATATGAGGTGTCACATAACCAGTGTTTGCTGGACTGCTAATTTCTGCACTAGTTTCTGGTACAAAGTCAAATTTTCCTGGAGTAGAATGAACAACTGAGGATTCCAAATGTAAGTGTTGTCCTTCAAGCTGTTTTGGTTCCTGTGCAGTAGGCATATGATGTGAAGTATTCTTCAAACTGACATTCGTCGGCCACTGTGAAACCTGAGTTTCAGCTGCCAATGGTGGTGGTCTTCCGGCATTCGCAGCTAAATTGAATAGATAATGTAGTTTATAAGCATTGATGGATTCTCAACAACAAAAGGAAAGATTTGAACAAAGAAGACAGAAACCATAGACTGCACAATTTAATTTAATAGCTGATATATATTGCTGTATCATCATCAGGTGCATTCTACAGTAACAATTGATTAAAATTAAGCAAATAAATGAATCCTTCCAACTGAAACACAGAACTTACTAAACTAAAAAGTCACTGTCTGTTTCAACAGGGTAAATGCAAGGTGACAACCATATCATTTTGTTTACATAATATCTGGACTGAATCAGGTTATAGCGGTTGCTTCCATTAATTGTAATAATCTGCAGCTGGCTGCGGTATAAAGAATTTGAAATGCATCGTCCTTATTTACAATGTGCCAAGAATTCAAAATATAGTGCACAATGGATAACATGTTTTCTTTTAATTACCAGTCACGCGATTCTTAGTGTTTTGCATTGCTTTTACCACCCACAGTGGAAATGTTCAGCGAACTGGTGCTAAAGTCATTGATTAGTTCTGCCCACATATGCAGCATTACAGGTGCATTTAAACAGACAAATACAACTGGATCCGGTGCACGTCGACACTGGTTCTCTCATTGGTGGCATAAGAATTATAGTAGTTTTAAATCTGATAAAGGCAAGGCTTATAGAAAGTTTGAGTGATTGCTGTTTTGAGCCAGTCATATAAAAGTTGCATAACTTCATGTCTTTGAAAGGTCTGACGCAAATACACTTGCTTTTCTTTGGTACCAACATCTCTATGGCGGCTGACAGTGGTGCTTAATAAAACCACCTGGATATCCATTAGAAAGCAGGGTTGGACACAAGAAAAGAGCAGGGAGGGGGGGGGGGACAAGGAGATAAGTGTGGTTTAGTGACATGGCTTATTCAAAACAAGAACACAGCCTTGATTATTTGAAATACAGAACCATGACCACATATGGTAATCAGCATGGCAGATGATGACAATGATCAAGGAAATGCAGCAGGTTTTCATCTCACAGAAAAGATAAACACAAAATACAAATCAATATTATAATTTTACCATGCTGTCTGATCTTTGCTGCTACAACTCTCTGCCGCTCCTGCAATTTTTCTCGAGTCTCTGCCACGGATTCATACTCTGGAGCATAGCACACATGGAGAGCCCCACCAAAAAATGAATGGTCATCCAGCTTTCTTTTAGCAAATCTGTGCACAATAACAGCTCGTTAGTGGAAAATATGTCCAAGAAAAATAAAGAAAAAAAATGTGCTATAAGTGAACGTTTCAGTGATGGAAAAAAAAAATGGAACCTATTTTGTAAAAAATGTGATATTACTGGTTAGAGCTGATGTTTTTTCAAACAAATAGCAATAAGACAAACTCCAGGTCAAATGTTAATTTCTTGATGGTTCGCATTTGCATGTGATTAACTTGGCATGAATAAAGTACAGAAATTGTATATATTTTAACCCACTTCTTCTTGTGGGAGCGTAGTGGCTAGTCACTAGTTTGTCTGTCCAAAAGTCTGAGGGTTGAATCTACATTAAGGTTGTTTTTGTTTTTTTAAACCTGACTTTGGCTTCCAGGTGAACCTAGCCTAAACTGGCTACCAGGTGAACCTAGCCTAAACTGGCTACCAGGTGAACCTAGCCTAAACTGGCTACCAGGTGAACCTAGCCTAAACTGGCTACCAGGTGAACCTAGCCTAAACTGGCTACCAGGTGAACCTAGCCTAAACTGGCTACCAGGTGAACCTAGCCTAAACTGGCTACCAGGGGAACCTAGCCTAAACTGGCTACCAGGTGAACCTAGCCTAAACTGGCTACCAAGTGAACCTAGTCTAAACTGGCTACCAGGTGAACCTAGACTAAACTGGCTACCAGATGAACCTAGACTAAACTGACTACATGGTAAACCTATACTAAACTGACTACCAGGTGAACCTAGCCTAAACTGGCTACAAGGTGAACCTAGACTAAACTGGCTACCAGGTGAACCTAGACTAAACTGATACCAGGCGAACCTAGCCTAAACTGGCTACCAGGTGAACCTAGCCTAAACTGGCTACCAGGTGAACCTAGCCTAAACTGGCTACCAGGGGAACCTAGCCTAAACTGGCTACCAGGTGAACCTAGCCTAAACTGGCTACCAAGTGAACCTAGTCTAAACTGGCTACCAGGTGAACCTAGACTAAACTGGCTACCAGATGAACCTAGACTAAACTGACTACATGGTAAACCTATACTAAACTGACTACCAGGTGAACCTAGCCTAAACTGGCTACAAGGTGAACCTAGACTAAACTGGCTACCAGGTGAACCTAGACTAAACTGATACCAGGCGAACCTAGCCTAAACTGGCTACCAGGTGAACCTAGCCTAAATTGGCTACCAGGTGAACCTAGACTAAACTGACTACCAGGTGAACCTAGACTAAACTGGCTACCAGGTGAACCTAGACTAAACTGACTACCAGGTGAACCTAGACTAAACTGACTACCAGGTGAACCTAGCCTAAACTGGCTACATGGTAAACCTAGACTAAACTGACTACCAGGTGAATCTAGCCTAAACTGACTACCAGGTGAACCTAGACTAAACTGACCACCAGGTGAATCTAGCCTAAACTGGCTACATGGTAAACCTAGACTAAACTGACATCCAGGTGAACCTAGCCTAAACTGGCTACCAAGTGAACCTAGACTAAACTGACTACCAGGTGAAACTAGACTAAACTGACTACCAGGTGAACCTAGACTAAACTGACTACCAGGTGAACCTAGACTAAACTGACTACCAGGTGAAACTAGACTAAACTGACTACCAGGTAGTGTTGTGGGAAGTCAGGGTGGTACAAATTCTTATTTTGCCTGCCTTTTACTATATGCTTCTGAAGGGGCAGTCTATTCTTTTATTTGGCAAAACTCCAGAACCAGAACACATACAAGATTACAACTATTCAACAGATGCAAATTTAAATCACATTTTACTATTGACAACAATTCAATAGCAAGTTACTTAAAGCTTCCAGACATACAAACAAGAAACACTGAACAATAAAAAACAGAATAAAGATTAACCCACCGAGCAGACTGTATTTTCTTGTATCTGACAAGGTACACTTCACTATACTTGTCCTCACTTGGATAATCATCCAGTGCATTAAACTTGTCGACCAATCCAAAGTTTGAACACAGTTTGTGCAGTTCTTGTGTGGCACCAACACTAGGCACTCCTTGTATCAGTATGTAGCTGGATTCATTGTTGACTGTGTAAACCTAAAATATATCATAGTTAAATGATAGTTGATTGGTCATGAAAATATCTGATTAAAAGATGTACTTGCTGTTCATAAGCAGAACAAACTACCATGTGAATAAATAGCTAATAAGCACATAATGAACACATATACACCGACTATAGCTGAATTTTTTTTTTGGGGGGGGGGTTCTTTCTAGTTGTATATTTTGCACGGCTAAGTGAACTATTTTTAAAATGCCTACTATTATGTGTGTAAATGTTGATGGTAACTTTTTTTTTCAGGCAGGCATTAGAGAATAGAGGCACATTATGTCAATCTTATGCTGGAACATGAAGTCTTATTCACTTCTTGCTGGGTTTCCCAGTAAATATTTTGACAGTATGCTTTATAAAATAATTAAACATTGAAAAAAAAAAAACTATATCACATATACCAAAAATGTGTTTATTTGGGATTATTGGAGTAAACAGAGTGAATAAAGTAAGAAATGTAAAGTAAGAAATGTGAGTAAGCTTCAGATTTATAAAGAGTGTTTCATTCATAGTAGCAAAAATAGTACTTCCAGGACCATTTGAAACATTAGTTTACAAATAATTTTCATTAATTCATTGGTGACCACAATAACATTTAATGGGGCAAGAGCACATACTACAGCACCATGGACTATCCTGTTAGACTGCACCTAAGAAAAAATACAAATCAGGTATTCCGAAATTTGTGAAAGTTAATTTTTAATAATTAATAAACTGGTGACCAAATTCAAATTTTTAACTAGACAAGGGCCTATGTCTTTGACACATTAAGGCTTTATTTTTTTAATTCTGTAAACTTTTGCAGAAAAGAAATTTAATGACCGTTATTATAGAGTTTAGAACAAATTGATTTTTAATAATTAGTCATTAACTCTTTGAGTCCCAAGAAACGCATCATCTGTTCATAGAGGCCCAATGAACGCAAGATGCGCCGATTATGCATCTCTCTTGACTACCCCTTGGGCCTCTGAGGCTAAACCCCCTGGGACTCAAAGAGTTAATAATTAACAACCTTTATCAATTTTGATTTAAGCAAGAGCCTGTGTCTATAATATTTTTAAATTGAGTTGCAAAAGACACACACAAAATGTGATATAGATAGATTTAAATTATAAAAATCATGCTTCTGCGTTAAGATTATGATAAATGGTGGCAATTTTCAAGAATAATTAGTAGTCGACATTACAAAATAACTAAGAATGTCAATGTTTATTCAGTTAGAACGTGTTGCCTCAAATACAAAAATGTTTTCTAGGGTCTTTTTAAAATACTTAATAAGGTAAAGCAGTTTTGAAACCACTCCTCAAAGACGCAATTTTAATTTCTGGGCAAAGTTTTATTTAACTGACTTTTTTTTCTTCTTTTTTCATTTTTTCCACTAAATCTTGGATAACTCGGCTCAGAATCGACATGCAGACATGAATGAGGTACCGTTGGACAGAGATTTTCAATATGTATCCAGCTGTTTTGGTTTTATTAGTATCTTAAAATGATTTTGTTTTTTTCAATCAGCTAAAGTACCCAAATTAATAATAATAGTAAATTATGCGTAAAGAGCCAAAGAAGAAAAGTAAACCAACAAGAATTTCGTGCTGTCAGTCACCAAACGCTTAAGGATATCTGGAAATGGGATTTCATTATTGCGCTTACCTATGAATGGACTTGTCCGATGAAAATAACAGGTTGATTAAGTAGCTAACTAACTTTTCAAGTCATAATCATAATCAATGATTGATTCACAAAAAAGCGAAGAGGGAAGGTGGGGAAAATGACAAATTAAATCAAATAATTAATAATACCAATGAATTACCAACCTTCACTGCTTTCGGCTGCCTTCCATCTCGATATGGTGGTCTTGTTGCACACACATTCTGTTTTACGTGATGAGTAGGAATCTGTGAAGCCATAGCTTAGTTTAATAAACACGAAAAACACGAAAAATAACAAATGTCACAATGCCATTTGCTTTCATCGATATTGTTTAATTGTTCCGTTTATCATAAGAATTGCAAAAGTATACCCGATGTCCCAATCATTCCCATCCTTACCGTATTAAAAGCTATTTCTATCCACTTCACTGTGCCATTTTCGTTAATAATTAATTATCTTATGTTTTATATACATGAATAAAACTTGACGCACACACAAAAACACCATTCGAACCAAATATAAAAATAGTTTTATTGTTTAGCTATTTTTTTTCCTAAATATTTTTTTTATTAACTATGAAAAATGAAAAGTTTCATCGGGTAAACAACAAAATAAATTCTCTTTGGAAAACAAAATTTGATATAGATTATAATTAAATTTATCTGATCTTAAACTGATGAGGACGGGTGGCAGCTGTTGACCTATAAACAGATAAATAACAACTAAATCAAACTAGAAATAACAGCAAAAAGAAAGGTACATCAGAGTCGCCACGTCCATTTAAGAACTCCAACATTTTTAATCTTGAATTAGGAATCCACATCACGGGACACTCCCATAAGTGCTTAGTCCCCATCTTCAGCAACAAGCAAAGAGTTCCAATTTCGATGGTACCAGTAACCGTCTGATTGTATATCCGTCTCATCCTTTCTCTGACTGTTGAACGTCGGCCAGACACCCTGGTAACTCCTCGTAGCGCGAATTTCCTTAGAACGTAATGATCTATCTGCGCCTCTGCACTGTTTACCCGCTCCCTAAGGGCTGACACAATATCTAAATTGTCATACATCAGTTCACCACCAAGTGGTGCAGAACCAGCCAATCATCTGGCTGCTCATTTGCCAACACACCGGTATATCCTGGAGAAAATATCCAAATGATTGAGGCCTCCAATAAAATGTTAAGGGAGAAAAAGGAGGGGCTGCAATATTAACAGCTCTGTCATTCAGCTTGAAAGTAGTACGTCTAGTTTTGGTATATTTGTAACGGGGGTCTTAACAATATGTTTTATAAATGGATGCTAAATACGCCTACAAAATAGAAATTGATGCTTAATGAGGAGTGGCTTGCATCGCTTGATACAAGTTGATAGATGCAAATCAGCAACCTATGTTGCTGAAATTTTTTGACATGCGTTATTTTGGTCTTATAATGACAGAGGCAGAAACCAAGCAGGTAATTTTAACTTTCAGCACACAATTTTTTTTTTTTTATCTTGTAGCAGGTGCTTTCCACAGGTGCACATGGCTGATGCTCCTATCTTGAATTTTGTGTACATGTGGTTACGTAATCAGTTGTGCCTTATTCTGAGGCGGAGGATAATGACTTGTTCTGGTCTGTCCATAATAAAATAGTCGTCTTGTGCTGGGGCTGGTGGTTTCCTGATCGATTTAATGATTCTTTGCTTTTGGTGCTATGTGACTGGTACATCCGGCTGCACTTTTATCACACCTTCCCCTGCCAGTTGATCAGCTTTTCATTTCCAGGCACTCCACAATCAGACGGTATCCACTGCATTACGACTCTTCGCTGAAGGATGAGTTGTGTCAGCAGTGTTTGCAATTCTGGTAGTTTCCTAGACTGAAGTGCTTCAAATACTGATTTTGCATCTGTCTGCATTACCACATACTGTGAGCCAAGATTTGTATTTAGCAGCTTCTTTGTTGCTATCTTGATAGCCTGAGTTTTTGCATCATATTTATGTCAGTACTTCCCGGTTGGTACGCTGGACTTATCCCTAGTACCATCTGGGAATTCTATTTACACTCCAGCACCACCATTTCTAACTGCACTTTCTGCGGACCCATCTGTATAGACTCTGGCCCATTGTTCTTGTGGGTATTTTTATTGCTGTGATGCCAGTTCTTGACAACTCAACGTGACCATCTTATATGGTTTCTAGGATTTGCTCCTGTGTACTTCTCATTCATTTGATGTTGATCCTATGGACATCAGTCCTGGAGGGAAACAATCCCACTGACCAGGTTGACATTTTTTAAACAGAAAGTTATAATGATGCTATTGCCCTGGTAAAACTGACAGTTTCTTTTGAGAGAGTTTGAATGTGTACTTCATTTTAAAGAATTCACTTATTTGCTTCATTTATTTGATAGTTACTGTAGTATGCACCCGATGTGATAGATACAGTGAAATATGCCAGTCAATGAATTGTGCAATCTATTCTTTGTATCTTCTTTATTCAAGCTGACAGTCAAAAATGGACCCCAGAAATGGTATATGGTGCATTCATCCTCATCACCGTCAATTTCCGCTTTTGCTGTTAGGCAGCTTGTGAAGGAACAGTTTGCGATATATCGGTTGATGTGTAGCAATGGCTGCAGATTTTTGCACCATGTCAGTGTAAAGCTCCTTATGCAAACCAGTGGTGCATCAGTCATTTGAGACTAGACTCACATTTGTGTAGAACAATTGGCCCTCAACTGGTGATCTAGTCAACATCATGCGGGCATGTCATTTTAGAAGTTCTTTAATGTCATCAATCCATTTTCTCCTAATGTTAAACCTGATTTTCACATCAGATGTGTTCATGTGTAGCGCCTGTGTTCGTAGTTTTTGTGCTGCACTCTAATGAGGCCACTATACCATTATATATATGCTGCACCAGAGGTCTAAATCAAGATCTATAAGAAATGTTCTTGTCAACTGATCTTTTATAAGGCGTTTATTTCTTTTCAATAAAGTAACTATTAAAACTGACACATTTATTCCATCTCTTATTTGAGTTTGAAAAGAGCTTTACAATCAACGTCCTTTTGTTTTTAAATAAACCTATATTCTCATGATGGCCTGACTTTTTCATCACTGTCAAAATGATTTTTTCTTTTAGCTATGTTTCTAAAGGTTTGTTTCAAGCAAAGTGATTGAGCCAAATCTGGAGAACAGAGTGGGTATAGAAGATACTGACCCTATCGACTGGAAAACTTAAAGTGGTTTTACCATCCACTACAAATCATTGACAAACCATTATTTCAGTTTCAATTTAATGTTCAGTCCTTACACAGTCTATTTATCAGTTTTGGTAGTGTCTGCAACTACAAAGCGTTAAGAGGAATTAGATGTGATTATATATACTAAAAATAGAAACTAGGGATTTCTACTAATGGAGTTACAGCCTTTGTGTGACATGATCTGGTTCCATTGCATTTCCTGACCTGAATGTGTTTTGTCATAATGACAGTAAGAGGTAAAAAGAATGGGTGGTTTTTTTTGTGGCAAAGGTTAATTGGTACTGCTGACAACAGAAAGCCTCGAATACAACCATCTTCTTTCGCATGATTATGGAATCATTTACAAAGCATGCATAAAAAAATCTGTTTCTAGCCATCACCTCCATAGTCAGACGACTACTTTCAGCCAAGCAAAAGCATCGCTTTTTTTCTTTACAGTTCTCCTTCCAACAAGAATCGTGAAAGCCTGTGAGCTTTGAACATACTGAATGACGGATCCATCGGTTTAAGTAACTGCACCAAACCAGAATTCTCAAGAATTAAGGCTTGAACTTCCACCTTCACCACCAATGTTTTTTTTTAATTGTCTGTAGTTCCTGGCCAGTTTGATGCAGATAACAGGATGTACACTACTCTGCTGGCATTCGTACCCATTCCTCGGCAGGTTCCTAGGTCCTCATTAAACAAACCTGTTGAATAATGTCCATGGTCTGATGCATCCAAGAATTTTCTCTCTCTAACCTGCTAGCCTTCTCCTGCAAGCCTAACTGTGCAGCAGGTGATGTGTGTTGGTGCTAATTTGTAGATAGGCATGCGTGCAGCAGATCACTGTTCTCACTTCCATGGTTAGAAGATCAAGCTCTCTCTTTATGTATGGTTAAGAGCCAGAATCGCCAAGGAATTTCGGGGGTGCCAGTTTATCAGCAATGTGACAGATTAACTGCAGTGAGCTACTTTATGATCAAGTGGACAAGCTAAAGGCTCTCCAGGATCAAGTGGACAAGCTGAAGGCTCTCTAGGATCAAGTGGACAAGCTGAAGGCTCTCCAGGATCAAGTGGACAAGCTAAAGGCTCTCCAGGATCAAATGGACAAGCTGAAGGCTCTCTAGGATCAAGTGGACAAGCTGAAGGCTCTCTAGGATCAAGTGGCCAAGCTAAAGGCTCTCCAGGATTAAGTGGACAAGCTGAAGGCTCTCTATGATCAAGTGGACAAGCTAAAGGCTCTCCAGGATCAAGTGGACAAGCTGAAGGCTCTCTAGGATCAAGTGGACAAGCTAAAGGCTCTCCAGGATCAAGTGGACAAGCTGAAGGCTCTCCAGGATCAAGTGGACAAGCTGAAGGCTCTCCAGGATCAAGTGGACAAGCTAAAGGCTCTCCAGGATCAAGTGGACAAGCTGAAGGTTCTCTAGCATCAAGTGGACAAGCTAAAGGCTCTCCAGGATCAAGTGGACAAGCTAAAGGCTCTTCAGGATCAAGTGGACAAGCTGAAGGCTCTCCAGGATCAAGTGGACAAGCTAAAGGCTCTCCAGGATCAAGTGGACAAGCTGAAGGCTCTCTAGGATCAAGTGGACAAGCTGAAGGCTCTCTAGGATCAAGTGGCCAAGCTAAAGGCTCTCCAGGATTAAGTGGACAAGCTGAAGGCTCTCTAGGATCAAGTGGACAAGCTAAAGGCTCTCCAGGATCAAGTGGACAAGCTGAAGGCTCTCTAGGATCAAGTGGTCAAGCTAAAGGCTCTCCAGGATCAAGTGGACAAGCTGAAGGCTCTCCAGGATCAAGTGGACAAGCTGAAGGCTCTCCAGGATCAAGTGGACAAGCTAAAGGCTCTCCAGGATCAAGTGGCAAGCTGAAGGTTCTCTAGCATCAAGTGGACAAGCTAAAGGCTCTCCAGGATCAAGTGGACAAGCTAAAGGCTCTTCAGGATCAAGTGGACAAGCTGAAGGCTCTCCAGGATCAAGTGGACAAGCTAAAGGCTCTCCAGGATCAAGTGGACAAGCTGAAGGCTCTCCAGG